CCACTACGCAGGCCCCCAACCTGGGAAAAGAAATGGAGCCAGGCTGACATTGATATCCGCTCAATAAATGTCAATGGGTTAGGATCGTCCACGCAGGCCAAAAACGATGCAATTTGGAATATGATACGCGACCCCAACACCGGCCGATGGCTGGACGCTGTGTGTGTTCAAGAAACGCACCTCATTGACTCCTCGAACCACATAGCCAAGGGCAGATGGATATGGCCTACACAGCCCACTACGTGTCGTCGAGATCCTCTGCCTCAACCAGGGTGGCAATGTGGTTTCCTCCATCATCAAGGATTGAACCAATACAAGTGGAATAAGACAAACAACAGGGTAGGTGGATCTATCTTAAGGCCAAAACAACGGACGAGGTTTTTTAAATAGTAATCTCAATCTACGCCCCACGTGAGTTGCCGCAAAGAGTCGAGTTCCTCCTCCACCAGCAAGACATCATCATGCAAAACGCCCCGGTGATCATGATGGGGGAATTTAACAACACCTTGGACCCGGCTATGGAAAGAAAATTGTCCTCTCAAGAAGCAGTGACTGCCATGGGGATTCCGGGTCCGGATGCACTGGTCCTCTCTCATTTTATGGCTCAGTATCAGTTCGAAGACACATTTCGCTCTCTTTACCCTTCCCAAAATAAGTACACATGCCTGAGGTCCAGAGGAGAAGCCGGTCTATCGAACTCAAGGATCGACCTCTCCTTAATCTCGACAGACCTAATGGGCTTGCTCACAGCAGCAAAGATCCTCTCCTTCGGCCCAAATAAATCCTTTGACCATAGGATGATAGTGGTGGGCCTCTCCTTCCATGACCACATAGCAAGAGGTCCCGTTTTTTTCAAGTTCAACACATCCTTGTTGCCTTTAACAACATTTCAAACTATGGTCAAGCAATTATGGGATCATTGTCAGTCAGTCAAACCCTCGTACGAGGAAATAGTGGATTGGTTCAACAATGAGGTGACAAAACTCCAAGACAGGACCAAAAAGTTTGCAATTTAGCACGCTAGAGCCAAAAAAACGATATTAGAACGACTCTGCTCGACCTGGACGAATGAGACGACCAACTCAACCAAAACCCCCTTGACCCTGTCTCTTATACACATCTAGATGTGTATAAGAGACAGCCCTCGTACGAGGAAATAGTGGATTGGTTCAACAATGAGGTGACAAAACTCCAAGACAGGACCAAAAAGTTTGCAATTTAGCACGCTAGAGCCAAAAAAACGATATTAGAACGACTCTGCTCGACCTGGACGAATGAGACGACCAACTCAACCAAAACCCCCTTGACCTGCGCATCTTCAATAGACTGCAGGCTGCAAGGCAACTGCTTCAGGAACACATGAACCATCAGGTGAATGCGTGGAGATCCAGGCCAAAAAAAAAAAAAACAGGTGGACGGGACGATGGCCAGAACCTTTTTTGTCACGGCTAGAGCGAGGTCGAGATAAAACACGGTGGTTGAATTGAGGCACTCGTTCCTCCCTGAAAAGCCTGTGGCTAGGAACGCTTGCCAGCTCATCGATTATGCCTCGAACTACTACAAACAACTCTTTACCTCCCAAGCAAACCAATGGGATCCCCGAGAATGATAACACGCTAGAACATGCATGGCTCAAGTTATCACTACACGACTTACAGACATACAGAGGACCTAGTTGGAGACCCCTCTAACAGAAGAGGAGGTGTGAACATCTCTTAAATGTATGGAAGATGACAAAACGCCCGGCCTGGATTCCTTCCCCACAAAAATTTGGATGCACTTCTAGCAAATCCTTAAAGATGACATTCTACAATATGTGCAAGCTGTCCACAACCAAAGATCCTTTGGGGGACTAATAGGGCAAGGAGTGGCCACGCTGTTATACAAAAAGGGGGACAAGGCGGACATACGAAACTATCGTCCAATCATGCTTCTCCCCCTTTCTATAAAATGGTGACAAAGGCCCTGACAAATATGTTCCTTCCGTTGATACACAATCTCATCCACCCAGACCAGTCGGGTTTCATGCCAAGCAGGAATATCCAGGACATCATCCTGCTAGTGAACGAAACCATCAGGTATGCGACAAAGAAACGTGGACGCAGCGATCCTGTTCATCGATTTTGAAAAGGCCTATGACCACGTTGTCTGGGATTTCCTGGACATATGTCTAAAACGGATGAACTTAGGAGAGTCTTTTGGTTAGTGGGTCAACATCTTGCATAGGACTGCCTCCACAAATATTATGCTTAATGGACATCTCTCACCGTCTTTCCCCCTCCAACGCTCGGTGAGACAAGGGGACCCGATCGCCCCCTAGCTCTTCGTTATAGTAATGGAAGCTCTAGCCGCAATGATAAGGGTCCACCCTCACATTCAGAAAATAAGCATCCCAAAGATCCTCTCCCATCTTGTCCCAGTAACCTCTCTGTTTGTGGATGACCTCACAGTCCTCATGAAGACGAATGAGAGAGGTACAGTGGAAAAAGCGGTCAATCTTTTCTTAATGGTTGCGGATATGGAAGTAAACTTGGGGACAAAAACTGAGGGATGGTCACTCCATGCATAAGGCCACCCCCCTCCGTCGCAACCAGCGGTCACGTGGTGGGCATAGAAGGAGGCCATCAGGGTGTTGGGGGTGAGACTTACAACATTGGGCCCGCCACAGGACAACGGGACTCGCTAGTAGAACTGACCCTCAAACAAATCTCCAAATGGAAAGGCATTCACACTGCACTGATTGGAAGGGCCCTAACCATAAACAGTTTTATCTTGGCCTCCATCTAGTACAAGACAGCATTATGGCGCTTGACAACCAAGCAACTATCCCACCTGCAACGAGCGGTCGCTACATACCTTCAAAAAAATGAGGGGGGAGAAGGCCAATGTTTGTATAGAGTTGCTGGTAGTATGTGGCCCAACGAAGAGCCAAGGGTGGACTAGGGATTATCGACCAGCC